CCCTGAGGGCGGTGCAGTTAGACCTGCTCGTGTAGGCTACCCTGAAGGAAAGCAGTGGAGAAGTCGAGGGAGTGAAGCTCGTAGTCACGCTGTGCTGCTACGTGTAGCAGCGCGTGAAGAGTAGTCAACTTTGGGGTCGGGGCGAAGGGTTGAAAGAAGTCCAACCCCTCTCATTGATTGAAGCCTCTAGCCACGTAGCACGCCTTGAACACAGGCGGCTCTCTTGGGGGGCGCTTCACCTTGAAGAGCCATCGGCCATCGACTACGTTCACCCCAGGTGGGGGAACTACGTCGACGTAGGGGCCGGTAACCCTCCAAGATGCCATCTCATGCTCCGTGGTAGCTATCCACTGAGAGGCCCAGGGTCTCGAGGTCGCCTCTGCGTAGGTGCGAGGGGTCGGGATGTCAAAGACGTCCGGGTCACCCGCGGGGACTAGCAGCATGGAACAGAGATGGGGAGCAGCCTCTAACAGGGAAGCAAGCTCGTACTGCCGGTCCTCCAAGACGCCACTGCCGAGGGCAGGAGCACCCCCGACGGACGGAGGACAGACAGGGTCAGAGACTAGAGCAGTAGCGAAGTCAAGGCGGCGAGTAGAGGCAAAGTCAGCGAAGACAGCGACAAAAGCGTCGGTAACGGGGAGGACGAGACGCATGGGAACGAAGCAACATAGGGTGAGAACGCTGAACATGAGAGACAGGACGAGCACGAGAGGGACGGCGAGACCAGACGTGAGACGGAGGCGTCGGGTCAGGAGACAGAGGAGGAGTAACAGGAGGGGAACGAGAGGGGAAACGAGCCGGGGACGAGTCCGGCGGAGGAAACATAGGACCGTGAATAGGAAGGAGGGGAGACGGCGAGGGAGGCGCAGGCGAGCGGTGAGGAGAGGGAAGGCCGAGCAGGCGAAGGGTGGACACCGGCAGCGACTGCTGCTGCTGCTGCTCAACGCTGACACCTGGACCACCAGCTGCACCACTGCTACCTCCGGTACACTCCACGCCAGCACCCCCAGAACCAAAAACGTCTCTAGCGCCGGTGCCACCCCCGAGACCGCCGGGACAAGCAACGACAGGAGCCCCAGGACTAGCACCCTCTCCAACTCCAGCACCTCCAGAGTCCACGAACGGCTGCGGCTGTGGCGACGGCTGCAGTTGCGGCGGCGGTGACGTTGGCGGCGACTGTGACGAGGGAGGAGGAGACATCGGGGGAGGGACAGGTGGTGCAAACTGCGCCGCGGGGCCACTGGAGTCAGCCGACTCCTCGACCGGGACAACCGACGGGAGGGGAGTGACATGAGACACACCAGACGGAGCAGGACGGGGAGGGAGGGGAGGGAGGGGAGTAGGGGCAACTGGGGGAGTGGGGACCAGAAACAGGGGGGGGGGAAACCGGGAGACCTCGGTGAGGAAAGCTATGGAAGAAGGAGACAGACTCGTCGAAAGTGACGTCACGGGAGTGAAGGAAGTGGTGAGACAACGGGTGGTAGAAGACACAGGGGACGGTGCGGGCAGTGAGCTTGTCCGTGCCGGAGGCACAAATGTGAGCGAGGCAGCCCCAGACGTGGAACGACCAGAGGAGGGGTTTGCAAGGGTGACAGCGGCAGGCGTGGTCGCGGAAGAAAGAGGCTGACGCACCGGAGTCTAGAGTGAAGGACAGCGACGCCATAGTGGTCGACGACGGAGGAGCAAGGGTAGAGCCTAGGCTAGACAAAGCAAGCTGTCCTACGCCTGATGGAGTAGGGGAGTCTAGACTACACACAGGTGCTACGCCTAAGCTAAAGAACACAGAGTAATACGATCCGGAAACACTCGAAGCGTCAGCATACAGAGAATGCAAGGCAGAATTAATCTGTTTCTAAGGTTGCCGAGCTTGCGAAATTGCAGATTTCAGCTGCGAAAGAGCTAGGGGTCTTATTGTGGGGTTACGTCTAGGGCAAGTAAACATTTCGATGTGTCCAAGCTTGCCAGAGGGTGTCGTGAAGTTAGGCTAGGTAGGAATAGGTGAAGCCATGAATATGGCGTGAGATCTAGATCTAGGAGGTAGGCGAGAATGTCGAGAGAAAAGAGAGGACTAGGAAAGATGAGAAAGGGACACAAGGAGGGGTGTTGTACCCTCTACAGTAATGTTCAGTAACATCTACCAAGCCTACACTTATATAATAACTTATATAATTTAACACACCCCCTAGGCTTGGTAATAGAAAGACCCACACACCCCCACACCCCCTAACTTAGCACCCCCATTCCCATTAGCCACGACGACTCCAACAGGGCCAACCCCAAGGCCTTGGAGATGGCGACGGCAGCAGTCCCGGCAGCGGCGACAGCTACGGTGACGTCAGGCGTGCGGCGACGACAGCGGCGATGGCGACGGCTTCGGCTTACGACGGCGGTGACGGCAGCGGCCCCCACCCTTCCGGCGGCGTGTCCAAACTCCGCACCAGGAGAACGACCGGCGAGAGTCAGACGGCGGCTGTGGCGAAGAGGAGGGGACAGAGGAAAGGGGGAAGGGCAGGGGCTTCGGATCTTCAGCGCGGCGCCATTGCTGGCGCGGCGCTTACTGGCGTGTGGGCGGGCTGCAAATCCAGCAGCGACACAGGTCGTGCGCGACGGCAACAGGCCGACGACACAGCCACGACACCACGACGACGCCACCAAAGCGTGGCGTCGGAGCCGTGGCTGCTCGTCGACGCTGGGACGACAGCACACAAAGACCGCCACAGCATCTTGGAAAAGGTGCCACGGCGGCAGGCAGAAGGAAGGCCGCGAAGAACGAACAGAAGGCCGTGACGACTCCAACAAGGCCAACCCCAAGGCCTTGGAGATGGCAACGGCGATAGTCCCGGCAGCGGCGACAGCGACGGCGATGACGGGCATGCGGAGGCAACAAGCATGCGGCGACGACAGCGGCGACGGCGACGGCTTCGGCTTACGATGGCGGTGCCGGCAGCGGCCCCCGCCCTTCCGGCGGCATGTCCAAACTCCGCACTAGGAGAACGACCCACGAGAGTCTGACGGCGGCTGTGGCGAAGAGGAGGGGACGGAGGACAGGGGGGAGGGGCGGGGCTTTGGATCTTCAGCGCGATGCCATTGCTGGTGTGGCGCTTACTGGCGAGCGGGCGGGCTGTAGATCCAGCAGCGACGCAGGTGGTGCGCAACGGCAACAGGCCGATGACACAGCCACAGCAACACGATGACGCCACCACAGTGTGGCGTCGGAGCCGCGGCTGCTCGTTGACGCTAAGATGACAGCACACAAAGGCCGCCGCGGCATCTCGGAAAAGGTGCCACGATGGCAGGCAGTAGGAAGGCCGCGACAGCGGCAAACGGACAGAAGGCCGCGACGGCGGCAAGGTAAGGACGAGTACGCGGCGGAAGCGTGGAGAGCAGGCCCGGGAAGGGCGTGCTGCTCTGAAACCATGTCTTGAAGTTAGGCTAGGTAGGAATAGGTGAAGCCATGAAAATGGCGTGAGATTAGATCTAGGAGGTAGGCGAGAATGTCGAGAGAAAAGAGAACTAGGAAAGAAGAGAGAGGGATACAAGGAGGGGTGTTGTACCCTCTATATTAATGTTGAGTAACATCTACCAAGCCTACACTTATATAATAACTTATATAATTTAACAAGCTTGTCCAACCTTTGGAGGTCCGTTGTGAAAGAATTTGAAAAGGTGGTGCAGGAGACTAAGTATAGATTCTGCAGACACAAGTAGTACTGTAAGTAATACTTGAATTACCTCCAGTAACAGCCATTATTAACAAGTTGTAACACCAGAGTCAGTGTTACAGCCTTGCGATACTTCAAGACTTAACCAAGGATCTTTGCTGGAATGGTAGACTAGTAAGATAGCGGAAGTCTTAGAACTTGTAAAGTGTTTACCAGAATTTACTGAAGAACAAGTCAACAATTGAAGTTGTACAAGCTACTTTTGTATCTGCTAGAAGTACCTATTCGGTGATGTACATGTTCGAGCTATTTGCGCTATGTGCTCTAACTGCTACTGAAAAGAGCGCGACTGTTCGTGTGACTGAAACGGCTTGCTTGTTGTGTGATGTCATCATATGCTATCACATTCTGTCTGCCTCCCATCCCTTGTTTCAATTCGCATGTATGGTTTGACTGTGTGTGAAAGAATTTGTGTGGTGTGTCTTCTGGAGTTTGGGAATGTGTTTTGTGTTATTCTGTATGAGCAGGTATTTATGATGATAGATCTTGAGAAGATCTTTCCGACGCAACAAGAATCGCTTCAATAGGAGCAAGAACGAGAAAGCTATGAAGATTCGAAGTTCATGAGGTTGCGTTACAATTGCGGCGGTTACAAAGTGAAGTTGTGGGGTGACTCTATATGGAGTTGGGACCTTTGGGGTTGGGGAAATTTGTCACTCTACTGTAACAGCTGCAAATTGGTTGGGAACAACCAAGCTAGGTTGGCAAGGGTGGCCAACTTGGATGGATTGGTTGGGAAGGGACAAATGTCAAAGTTGGGGTTCCTATAGGGAGGGAATCTTTGTGCTTATGGGGTTTCCTTGGTTGGGGACTCTCTTGGGACCTTCCCTCTCATCCGTTTCCTCCATCTCAACCTTTCTCTTGCTCCTCTAATTCCTTGTGAGATTCTTGAACTTTGATTGAACTTTTGAGATTGAGTTAAGTTATCCTCCTACAGCTTACCCCCTAATGCGTCGAAAGACATAGCGTCGCGAATACTCCATCAATTGACGCGATTTAAATTGCGAACAGTAGCTAAAATTACAAGCTACGACATATCTATTTTTTTTGACATTCCAACGGCTAGTTTTTTGTCGACGTTGTTTCTTGTGAAGACGACTTTTCTGTCCAGAATTTCGGATTTATATTTTGAGTAATTCTAGCTCCTAATTTCAGCTAGACTCCGTCCTTAATCCTAACAAGTGGTATCAGAGCGATATTGAGGACATTAAGAGGAGTCTACAGAATTTTGAAGACCCTTCTAGACCCACCATGGCCTGTGGATGTGCCTAAGTGGTGTTCTAAATGTTGGATGTGTCTTCCGCTAAGGGGAAACTCTGCCGAAATTTCGTGGACGCCGACACTTGTGAAAATATCCAGGGAGCTGTGTGTGGACAGCAAAGGGGAGCTGAAATTCGTCATTTCTCAAGGAGAAGATGAATGAGAGAGGAGGAGATGCTAATGGAAGAGGCGCTGTACATGAGAAGACAAATGAGCCGCCACCATCGAAAGTTGAAGCTTTGGATGGCTCCAACTATGAGGAATGGAGCGGGCGGATGAGGAGTGCCTTCAAACGCTACAAGCTACTGAAGATTGCTGTTGGGGAGGAGAAGATGCCGGAGGAAGGCGAAGCACGCAAACGGTGGATTGAGAAAAGCGCGGTGCTTTTCGACCTCATCCTTCAATCGGTCAACAAGGAGATGTTCGAGCACATCAAGGATCTTGTGGAAGCGGATGATTCGGGTCCAAGGGCGTGGAAACTACTACGCGATGTGATTCAGCCCAACACTCTCCCAATGGTGATCGTGCTCGAGAAGGAACTTGCTGCCATCTCCATGCAACCAGGGGACGATGTGAAGCCGGTCCTTGACAAGATCAAGGACACCTATGCGAGGATGGCAGCAGCGGGCAGCAGCGTTTCTCAGCTACAGCAGTGCACCAAGATCATCTTGGTGTTGGACAATTCTTGGGACAACCTCATCCCCACCCTCAACTCTCAGCAAGATCAATGGACACCTGAGTGGCTAAGGCAGCAGATTCTGCAGGAGGACTTTCGCAGACGCCATGTGGGAGGTGGTGCTTCCACTAAGACTGCTGAGGGGTATGGAGCTGCAGGGCGCGGCAGAGGAAGAGGGGGTTGGAGAGGCCGAGGCTGTGGGAGGAGCTTTGGCAGAGGTAGAGGCCGAGGTGACTATAATGAGGGGCATGGGAGCTCTGGTGGCAGGGGGAGTACCAGAATGGAGGGCACCTGCTGGTACTGCAAGAAGGTCGGGCATCCTTGGTTCAAGTGCTTCGGCAGGCCGGAGGGATGGGCACCTCCAGGCATGAAGCCGCCAAGTGGTGAACGCACACATGGTGGCGCTGTGCACGGCTCAGGTGCACAAGGTGAAGGTGCACAAGGTAATACCTATCCTGGGATGTTTCTCATGGTTGAGGATGTGCATGGGCATGAGGGTGATGTGGGATCTGTGGGAAAGGTTGTGATGCACCCTCTCACGCACTGGGTGATTGATTCAGGTTGCACCAGTCACATGACCCCACGGGCAGATTTGCCTGATGAGGTAAAACCCCATGGGAAGATTAAGTATGTGGCAGCAGCGTCAGGTGCTTTGCTCCCTGTCATTGGTGTTGGGAATGCCAAGGTTAAGGGAGCTAATGGGGAACTTGTGGGGCTTGGGAATGTTCTGCTGGTTGAAGGTCTGTCTGCTAACCTTCTCTCTGTGCGGCGGCTGCAGAAGAGTAAGGCCGAAGTGACCTTTGGACCAACCAGCTGCCGTGCTAAGCTTGGGAAGAAGGTGCTGTGGAGTCTGGAAGAGGAGACCAGCTACATCAAGGACCTATGGCAGCTGCCCATCATCCCTTGGAATGGGAAGACTCCAACAGCAGCAACGGCAGCAGCGGCAAAGGCAACAGCAGGAGGAGATGCAACTGCACCAACTGATGGGGTCCTGGAAGCAGTCAAGAAAGTGCAGCAGCAGCAGACACATGGTGAGGTGCTTGCTGGTGTGGATGCGAGTGCGGCATGGGCTAAGGCTTCATCAAGGAGTGGTGAGGCCGATTGGGAGACATGGCATGAGAGGCTGTGTCATGTGAACTTCCCTATGCTGCAGAAGTTGGTGAAGGATGGGAGCCTGAAGGGCTTGGAGGTGAAAGGGGGAGTGAAGGAGATAGGGAGCTGCCCTACATGCTTGGAGACCAAGTTCTCCAAGTTCCCCTTCAACAGCACTACAGGACCAGCCAAGACCCCACTTGCACTTGTGCACATGGATGTGGTGGGGCCCACAAGAGCCCCTTCCCTCTCAGGCAGCCGCTATTTCTTGACAATTGTGGATGACCACACTCGGGCAGTGTGGGTTTACCCTTTGAAGAGCAAGGGGGAGGTGGCAGCGGCTGTCCTTAAGGAGTGGATGCCTAGAGCTCAGAGGGAATGCGGACACAAGGTGAAGGTGATCCACAGTGATAATGGTGGGGAGTTCATTGGAGCTGATTTTGAGGGGGAGTTGAAGAGGAAGGGGATCCAACATCAACTGACAGTGCCCTACAACCCGCAGCAGAATGGCGTGGCTGAGAGGTTCAACAGGACCCTACAGGAGGGGGCACGCACTCTCCTTGGGCGTGCAGGGCTGCCTGATCCGTTTTGGGTGTCTGCACTGAGGCAGGTCGCCCTTGTGAAGAACAGGGTGCTGGCAACAGTTGGGGATAAGGAGTGGATCCCATATGTCAAGTGGTATGGGAGTGCTCCAGCTGTGAACATGCTGAGGGCATTTGGGTACATGGTGGTGTTTCATGTGTCCAAGGAGAAAAGGGGGAAGTTGGAGGCTTCTGGAAGATGGGGTGTGCACTTGGGGATTGCAAAGGATCACAAGGGGTGGCTGCTATGGGACTTGACCACCCAAAAGCTGACAGTGTCAAGGGATGTGAAGTTTCTTGAGTCCCTGTACTACAAGGAATGGAAGCAGCAGCAACAGAAGCTTCCATCTACACCGCTCATTGTGGAGGCAGATGAGGTGCAGGGGCCTTCAAGACAGGTGGAGGTTGCAGTGTCTGAGGAGGAGATGTCTGGGGTGACTGAGGAAGGGGGAGCAGCTGAAGTGGAGCAGCAACAGCAGCAGCATGAGTCTCCACCTCGAGTTCCACACCCGCCTGAGCGACCTAGGAGGGATGTGCGCCCTCCGGTGAGGCTGACCTATGGGGGAAGAGGCAAGCCGAATGTGGTGCAGGCTGGGAGTGTGGTTGAGCAGATTGAGGAGGATGAGATCGCTCACTGCTACTGGGCACCAATTCCTGAGCCCAAGACTCGAGAGGAGGCCTTGAATGGACCAAATGGGGAGAAGTGGAAGGCGAGTGAGGATGAGGAGTTCGGGTCCCTAATTGAGAACGAGACATGGGACCTGTGTGACTTGCCTCCTGGGAAGAAGGCAATCACTTCCAAGATGATCTACAGGCACAAGTTTGGACCTGAAGGGGATCTGACCTGCTACAAGTCTAGGCTTGTAGCACGGGGGTTTCAGCAGACAAAGGGGAAGGACTATGATGAGGTGTTTGCTCGTGTGGGGAAAGGAACAACACTAAGGGTGCTGTTGGCGATAGCTGCACTCCTGGGATGGAAGATACGGCAGATGGACATTGTGACTGCCTTTTTGAATGGGATCATTCTGGAGGAGGTGTACATGAAGCAGCCAGAGGGGCTGGATGATGGGAGCGGCAGGGTCTGCAGGCTGAAGAAGGCCATCTATGGCCTTAAGCAGGCGCCTCGTGCATGGTATCACAAGTTGGAGGAGGCGCTGTTGGTTGGGGGTTTCAAGAAGAGTGAGTGTGACCCCAGCCTGTTCCTGCTGCAGGAGAAGGATGAAATCCTCATGCTCTTGGTGTATGTGGATGATATCCTTCTCTTTTCTGCATCAACTGCTTTGCTGGACAACGCAGAGCAGATGTTGGAGATGCAGTTCAAGTGTTCCAAGATGGGTGAGGTGAAGTACTACCTAGGGATGCATGTGGAGAGAGATGTGGAAAAGGGTGTGCTGAGGTTGCACCAGAGGAAGTACTGTGAGGGGCTAGCTGAGAAGTATGGGCTGCAAGATGGGGGAAAGCCAGCAACACCACTACCTTCAGGGTTTACTGTGGAGCCATGTGCTGATGAGGAGGTAGTGGGTGAGAGTGACAGGAAGCTGTTTCATTCGATGGTTGGGTCGCTGAATTATGCTGCAAATCATACACGGCCTGACATTGCATTTGCTACATCTCGGTTGGCTAGTGTGGTCTCACGCCCTAGTCATGAGCAGCTGGAAGCGGCCAAGAGGTTGGTCCGCTATGTGAGCGCTACGGCATCATTGGGATTGGAGTACAGTGGAGTGAGGCAGCGGTTACAGAGAGGTGCTGCAGATGTGAAGAGTGGAGAGATGCTCTTGAGTTGCTATACTAATGCTAACTTCAACTCGGTGAAAGCGGATGGCACCAGCATTGGGGGTTATGTGTGCTTGCTAGGAGGTGGTGCTGTGAGCTGGCGCAGCAAAAAGCAGAATGAGGTGGGATTGTCCTCATGTGAGACTGAGTACATAGCCTTACACCATGGGGTCAAGGAAGTGGTATGGCTGAGGCGTTTGTTGGAGGAGTTGGGAGTTGGTCAGGAGGAGCCGACAGTTGTGTTTTGTGACAATGAGTCTGCTGTGAAGCTCGCCAAGAATGCTTGTCTACATGGGCTGAAAAAACACATAAGGCCTAAGTGGCATTGGGTGAGGAGACTCCTTGATAAGGAGGTGTGGCTGGAGATAGTGAAGACCCATCAGCAGGCAGCAGATATTTTCACTAAGCCTCTGGCGGAGGCGGATCATTGGAAGGGCATGAAGCTTGCTGGGATGAGTGTGCATTGAGTATGCATGCTTGAGATGTTGGTATGGTGGATGATGGTTGGCAGCCAGAGGGGGAGATTGTTGTGTGATGTCATCATATGCTATCACATTCTGTCTGCCTCCCATCCCTTGTTTCAATTCGCATGTATGGTTTGACTGTGTGTGAAAGAATTTGTGTGGTATGTGTTCTGGAGTTTGGGAATGTGTTTTGTATTATTCTGTATGAGCAGGTATTTATGATGATATATCTTGAGAAGATCTTTCCGACGCAACAAGAATCCCTTCAATCGGAGCAAGAACGAGAAAGCTATGAAGATTCGAAGTTCATGAGGTTGCGTTACAATTGCGGCGGTTACAAAGTGAAGTTGTGGGGTGACTCTATATGGAGTTGGGACCTTTGGGGTTGGGGAAATTTGTCACTCTACTGTAACAGCTGCAAATTGGTTGGGAACAACCAAGCTAGGTTGGCAAGGGTGGCCAACTTGGATGGATTGGTTGGGAAGGGACAAATGTCAAAGTTGGGGTTCCTATGGGGAGGGAATCTTTGTGCTTATGGGGTTTCCTTGGTTGGGGACTCTCTTGGGACCTTCCCTCTCATCCCTTTTCTCCATCCCAACCTTTCTCTTGCTCCTCTAATTCCTTGTGAGATTCTTGAACTTTGATTGAACTTTTGAGATTGAGTTAAGTTATCCTCCTACAGCTTACCCCCCAATGCGTCGAAAGATATAGCGTCGCGAATACTCCATCAATCGACGTGATTTAAATTGAGAACGGTAGCTAAAATTACAAGCTACAACATATCTAATTTTTGCGACATTCCAACGGCTAGTTTATGGTCGACGGCGTTTCTTGTGAAGACGACTTTTCTGTCCAGAATTTCGGATTAATATTTTGAGTAATTCTAGCTCCTAAGTTCAGCTAGACTCCGTCCTTAATCCTAACATTGCTGACGTAATCATCCTGACGAGCGCTATTTGGTGACGTTATTCTACGGATGCTAACTACAGTGTAACTCGACAATAACTATCAAAACTACTTACAGAAATGCTTAAGTACGATTTTATCACAACACTCCCCTTCATTTCTGGAAGTCCGATAGTGTCACTTCTTGATAATTCCGTAGAGCTCGTTGCAGTATTAGAACTTCTGACGTGTCAGCTTCTTGGTAAGAAAATCTGCAGCCTTTTCATTGGTCGGACAGTAGACCAATCGCATTCTCCCCTTCTCGACTTCATCTTTGACGAAAAAGAACCGCAGCGAAATATGTTTCGTCCTGTTGGAAAAACCACATTGATGCGCAATTCTGATTGCACTTTGATTGTTGCACTGCAGGGTAAACTATGTAATTGTCGATGTAGATACTGCTGCCACAATCGTGGAGCATGTTTGATGCCGTAGAGAGATTTTTTGAGACGGCACACGCTGGGAGGATTAGTTTCGTAGGAATGTGGGTACTCGACCAGAATTAAAGCGTGAACGGGCGCATATAAAAATGCATTTGCGACGTCGATTTGTCGAAGTCTGAAATTCCGGTCGGCCGCGATGCGGAGGAGAATCCTGACACTAGTGTGTCGGCCGACGCGAGCGAAAGTTAATTCGTAGTCGAGTCCAAATGCTTTCTTGACGACCCATCGCGCCTTGAATCTTTCGAAGGAACCATCGGCATTTGTCTTCACGCGGAAAATCCATTTTCCGGTAAGAAATCTACTCCCCTTTGTTGCTGTCAGCGGGATTAAATCCAAGGTACCTCTGTTTTCCAGAGCTGCTAACTCTAGGTCCAAGGCTTCGCGCCATTTCTCTCGGTGTTGACTTGTCAAAGCTTGACGAACTGTTTTCGGCTCCAAAATATTACTGCTGTTTGCCTGTACTGCGACTGCAAGACCCAATACTTGTAAACCGGTTTCTGTAAAACGCAGACGATTTGAGTTGACACTGGAGAAGTTGTGTTCTGATCCCTGTTCCCCCCCAACTTCTTCAGGTGTTATACGGATCGCTGCTTCGGAGACAACTCACATGGGCTGCTGCTGACGATCGCGTTCGTAATAGAGAACCACATCGCGATCATCCTCTAAGTCTGCTTCGCTGAGTGGGATAAATTCAGCAGTTCCGGCTGACGTGGTTGGCACAGGGATGTGTGTGGCAGCTTCGGAGTACTCGGACACGGACTCATCCTGTACATCTGCTTTAGCGTCGTCGGAAGCGAAGGCACGCGATCCTTCGAATAGCCTGGTAGGATTGGCAGCTGCAGCCTGGTGAGCACGAAAAGCAGGTAAGGTGAGTCGTTCGTAGAAAAGACAATCACGTGCTGGTACGATTTGACTCGTGCGAAGATCCATAATTTTCCACGCGTAAAATTGCTTCTCGATGCCAAGATGTATCCCCCACTAAGCCCGTTCTGAATTTTTTCCGAGCGCTGCTGTCGGAGGTCGATATTGAACGATGCACTCGAAAACTCTTAAAATATTCGTGTTGACGACGCTTTTGTCCACTGTAGTTGTGGCGAAGAAAATTGCGGAAGTGAAGTTGTCGACAGCAAATTGTGCAGAAGAACTGCATGGTCCAAAGCGTAAGTCCAAAAATGTTGTGGCAATGCTGCCTGAGTCAGCAAGACTCGCATATTTTCTTGCAATGTCCTGTTCATCCTTTCTGCTACCCCCATTTGTTGATGCTGCTGCGGCAGAGACGTTCTGCGCTTGATGCCTAGGGTTTGAAGGTAGTCTGTGAAGTTTGTATTCTGTACTCTCCTACTCCGTCACTCTGAAACTCCTGTAACTTTTCCCCCGATTCTCTTTCAGCCACCGCGAGCCACGCGACGAAGATAGAGTGAGCCATATGCCGAGCCGAGATGTTTGCCGTCCAAACATATCGAGTAGAAGCCTCTATGAAAAACATCATATATAACTCCCCCTTAGGTCCTGCTTCAAGTAAGTTGAGGATGTCGCTGTAAGCTTTCTTCATAAGTGTGTATCGAGTTGAACTCGGAAAGTGACTTGGAAAGGGTTCGTGCGGAAGATTTGCAGTTGTACACGTGGTGCAGATTGCTAGTCTTGACGACGGCTTCATCTCAGTTCCATCCGGTAAGAGTAAACATTTTTTGTCAAGAACTGAAGCTCGGATAGTATGGTTAAGTATTCCCGATGAAGGATGTCCTAACCTTTGATGCCAAATATCTTTTGTTGCTTTGTGTCCTGTTGATCACAGGTAAAAATCAGTGTTAGTATAAAATGAAGAAACGATGAAAGGAGAAAACGCTGGTGATTCGTCGAGTTGGCCAGGAGCGAAGCGAGTAAGAGGTAACTTCGTGGATGTAATTTCCACATTGAGAACTTCTTCTGATTGAAGAACTAATTCCCCTTCCTCAATTTCTGTTTCTGTTGAATCTGCTGCAGGTTGACCGACAAGAACCCATGTTTGTGCTTCTCCGCTACTCTGCTGCTCTGCTTCCTCTGCTTCACTGCTGCTGCTGGGTCCCCAAGGTACTGTAAATTTGTTTTCAAGTTGTTGTTAAGTGTCATAGTAGTTCCTCCATGCTGATGTATCGCCCTCGGCTGTGTTTGTTGGCCAGGACTCAAGAGCCGTTATAACAGCTGTTGCTGTACGAGATCCTGTTGGAACTGCAGTTGCACGGAAGTCTACGTCAACCCTCTGAAAATCAGTTTCTTTGGGATATTGCCAAGGTCCAAGAGATAACACTCTCTCAGAAGATCCAGAAGTCCCTTGTGACTCGAATTGAAGAACGGAGACCCCATACTGAGTGGCGGCTCTCCCGATGTAAGTGTTTGTATCATTATGATAAAGTTCCTGGTCCATTGTCTCACATGCTGATGTATGGCCCTCAAGAGCCGTTATAACTGCTATTGCTGTACGAAATCCTGTTGGAACTGCAGTTGCACGGAAGTCTACGTCAACCCTCTGAAAATCAGTTTCTTCGGGATGTTGCCAAGGTCCAAGAGATAACACTCTCTCAGAAGATCCAGAAGTCCCTTGTGACTCGAATTGAAGAACGGAGACCCCATACTGAGTGGCGGCTCTCCCGATGTAAGTGTTTGTATCATTATGATAAAGTTCCTGGTCCATTGTCTCACAATTGCCTTGTGTCCTGATCTTATGTCGCAGAAGTTGAGCCGTTGAAAGAAGTTTAAAGTCAAGTCCAGCGACGATAAGGACATTTGTAACGTGTAAGGAAAAACCTGTGTCCACGGAATCCAGCATGACGCTGCCGATTGACCTTGCCATAATGGTTTGTCCATTTGCAACTGTGATGGGTACTGGACGTCGAAGCGGACGCTGATGAGTAATGAAGAGCGTCTCGGCAAAACACATGTGTTGTCCACAACAACTGTCAAGATACCAAGTGTTTGGTCCTGTGATAACCCGAGCAAGATTAGCATATACTTGAGGTAAAATCATGTTCTCAGGTTCCTCGATGGAGTTTTCGTCGTCTTCATCATCGAAATCTGAATCTGTTGTATGAACTGTTGTAACGCAGCTGAAAACTTGTTTTCCTAATGTTGCAGGAGTTGTTGTTGGTGGATTCTGCTTCACGGATTGCTTGAACTGCTGCGACTGCTGCTGCACTCCACTTTTCCTATCAGCTTGAAGCTTGTTGCAAAAATTTATGTTGTGTCCATTCTTTTCGTAGTAGTGACAGAAGAACTTGTTAACACGTTTCGTGGGCGTTGAATAGAAACTGATGTTAACTGCTCCACTTTTGTTACGTGCTGTCTGCAAGTCAAGATCTTGCTGCTCTGCTTGAAGGATTGAGCAGATTTCTGTTTCCGAAAGATTTGGTTGAAGACGAAGAAGAGATCGATACTGCCGCCATTCTGCTCCAAGACCGGCAAGAAGGACTGTTACAAGCATGTCCTTTGGGAAGTATCCGCCGCACTTTTCCAATTGGTGACGAAGTGTTCGAGCCCTGTTGATATAGTCTGAAACATTCTCATTTCCCTGCATCTGTACAGTTGTCAGTTGTGAGAGAATTTTACTCACGAAAATTGTATCATGTGCCGTGTATTGTAATCCCTTCAAATGCTTCCACGCAGATTC